CTTAAAGGTCTTTTCCAACCTAAACGATTCTATGATTATGACCCATTCCGATCAGGTAATAGATTTTCATCTGTATTTCCTTTTGGCAATCTTATACAGAACATCTGAAAAAGGTTAATACTGCTTTTTGGACAAGGTTAAAAAGTCCATTATTTTTGATATTTGTTTACAGATGATGCCATGTTCCAGAGTAGATATACGTGATCAAACTGCTAGTACCTAACCACAGCATACACCAAGCTTTAGCTCATCTGAACAGGACTCCTGCTCAGTGCTACTTAGGGGAGACATGGAATTCTTTCTTACCTTTCTTGGTAACTTTGTGTAGCGAATGTAATCTTCCAGGAACATGAGTGCACCCACTACATCAGCAGGCATTTCTGGTATCTTCTGGCTAAAATTAAACCACCATGAAGATCATACTCTTACTAGCCAATCAGGTACTTGGATAAAATTACATGAAAATGCCAGCCTTCAAATAACACCACTTCCACTAGGTACCATGTGATTCCATTACAAAAAGAGACAGTATTTTAATCTAATATTTAGTCAAATATAATGTTGTTATTATGTCAAATATACTCTGTTAGAAAAGCATACAGAAAAAGCAGGGATAATACTACTGAAGCCCTCTTCACAGAGGTGATACTTAGGGAAAAAGTAAAACACGGATACCTTGTGCACTGTTCCATCATTGAACGAATAAACTGACCGATCAGAGCCAGAAATTGTTCTGTGTATCTTGAGTGAAACTGTTTCAACAGGGTAAGGAGTCCCAGAACTAAAGGAAGCCAGTCAATTTGATCAGCTGGCCGCTTGCACACCACTCCTGCACAGGAAAAAAAAAAAACCCAAACAACACACGTTTATAAAATAGAACATATTCTTTATAGAAGAGGCAAACTTATATAATACACTCTGATGAGTTTTTTTTGCTGTGCCTCCCCTTCTGCTTGCCCACACATCAAAATTAAAAACTAATGTAACAACTGCATTTCTTCCATAGCAAATGGCTTAATGGTATTAACTAAGACATAGGACGGAATGAGAAAGTCAGGAGTTTGGGTTCTGTTTCCTACTCCATTGTATTTGGCTTCAATATTATAACAAACCTGCCTGGACATGATGGACTAAAGTCAGAAACCAAGTATGCAGATGATTTTACTGTTTGCTGTACAGATAATTTCACTTAAGTTTTCATTAGATTTAGACAAACAACAACTTATACAATACCTAAATTTCTGTTGTACTGAAGTTTCGGAAACTGGGAAATGAGAAATAGGAAGTTGACGGTGGGAAAATACGGCAGACGTTTTGTTGTTATGTAGATCTGAGGGGGGGGGAAGAAAAAAGAAATACTAAATTTTTTTGCAGTTAATAATCAATAAAATAGAAAAAGCAAACTGTACCAAGCACTGGAATGTAAGCCTGACCTTATTTAGTGGATTGTGAATGCCAGCTGCTTCCAGATAAGCTGTGATTTCATACAAAAGAGTGTTGTCTTCTTTAGGATAAGGTAGTGATGGGTTCTGATAATGTGCTTCAATGTCAGCCAGTATTGCTCTAGAAGGAAAAGAAATTGCTTATATTAAATACTTACTTTAAGTTATCCCCAAATAAACCTTACATGGTGCCACATGTCATATTAATTTAAAAACTTCAAAGACACAAAACCTGTAAATGGTTACAAGCAAGAGTACACCACCTTTTTTGGAACATCTTTTTACTAACATCGTATTTATTTCAAAATCAGCACCACACATTTTCACTGTTCTTACTCCTCATCCAGATATGACCTCAAATCCAGGTATAACCAAATGCAATTAGAAGCTGCATTGTCCGCTAGCATGTTCATACGAATTACTTGCCAAGTTATTTATTTTTATTGTTTTTCTTGGGCTCAAATTCAAATACTCATCAACAAAAACCTGAATACAATCAGTCTCCATATTTTGCTGTAATTTAGATTTTAAGGATTGCTGAACTGATCATAATTACATCACAGTGATACATGCAGCTCTTCAGCACATTTTGCTTCTTACTTATTGAGATTTTCCAAAGCAGCAGCCAAATGCTTGGAGTCAAACCTGCAGGAATAATTTAATTCATTGGTAATCTGTCGTCTTAAAATCTGCATCTGACCAACCTGTTGAAACAAATAAAGAAAAAAAGGGTGGGGTGTTATCCTGAATGCACCGAAGGAAAAGTCAAACTACAGAAAAACTTAATGAGTAACAATTTAGTTAAATAGGTTACACAAAGTCCTCATTACACCTAAAAGCCTTTGTAGGGCTGCACAAAGCAGGGACATACACAGTGCTTGGAGCCACTTCCTCGCTTTTGGTAACAGAGCACTGACTCAGACTGCCTGCAGTCAGAACTGACAGACCCCAACTGTGCAGTGCAAAGGAGAGGAGTATTCACAGCGCTCAAGATTTACACACAGTTCATGGCAGCAAATACAGGCAGTGTGAAAAGGGCACTAAAAACGTAAGAGGTATAAAACCCCAGTTACTTGCTTTTTTTCACCAGTCAGTGAAAATGCTTGTACCCTTTTCCCCACCTCTCCCAAGACCTTAGGGTCTGCAACAGCAGGGATAAAAACCAAGAGAGGCTTGTTGCAGTCAACCTTCCCCTTCCTTCCCTGACTTCTCCTCTCCTCTTCAGTAACATAAACAAACATTCACAGCACTCTGAAAAACACAGGTCGCAAAATATCATTACAAAGACATGATAAAGAGACACATTAATGGGATAGCTTCTTTAAATTTTTGGCACGGTAGACTGCCCTCTGCATGAACGAGGCAAGTTCAGGAAATGCTACTGCTCCGAACTTTAGCCTTAGGTACATTACTTCACAAGGCACTCTGGGGAGTCTCAGAGCTCCTGATACTGAGCACTATCTTGGTCTTCCCAGATCAGATCTCTAGTGCCAGACTCCATTTTTGGCAAACTATTACGTGTGAATCTCAGCGCTAACCACTTTGTGGAGTGTGAGCTGTTCATACAAATGAAGCTCAGGAGCTCTCGTAAATCCAGGCCTGCTTCACTTGTGATGTTACAGAATTCCAGGTCAACATAATACAACATTGTAAAATAAGCAGATTGAAGTATATAACCAAAGAGCCTAGAGTGAATTTTGTGTATCACTAAGTCACATAAACCCACCTTCATTATGGAGTCTAAATATGCCGTCCAGATCTTCTGAGTTTTTGCAATTGCAGCGGAATAAACCTTGTTTGAATTTGCTGAGAAAAGAAGAAGGGCGAGGCATTAAAAACAGAACAAGTAAGAGAGAAATAAACGCAAGTGTACAAAGACAATGGCTTTCTTCCATCTTAACCAGTAAGCACGTACCTATAATTCCTTTGAGAGGACTGACAGCATTCATAAGTGCTTTTAAGGTATCCTGTACTGTCCTGTCACGCAATATATTTTTCTGAAACATACTGAGGAAATTCTAAATGAAAGAAAGAAAGGAAAGTAAGTAAAATCCTCGCACACGCACTCTATGCTTAATCTTGGTGGTACAAGAGCCACATTTTGTAACAGCAGGGAAAGAATATTTCCACAGATGAAGAGTTGAGGAATCCTGTAGTTAGACTTTTTGCTTTTCCGAGTTACGCTGATCAGTGTTAGGACAATTAGCAGATCCCCCTCATCAATATGTAATACCCACTGTAGACAACTATTATTTCAATTTTTGAGGAAGAACTGTCTTCATCAATATGTACTTTCCTTACAATCTTTAACCAGTCTAGGACTGGATTCTTCTCAGAAAACAAAAAAAAAAAATTGGTTTCACACAGAGGTATTAAGGAAAAAGTCATTACATAGAATTGACAATAATAAACAAGAAAAGCATCGTGACTTTGAGAAACCAAAGTTCAAAAATTACCTGCAGTTCCTTTACAATCATGAAACACAGAAGCCTGTCTAAACCATTGAGACCAAAGGTACCTAAAGTATCTTGGATCTCTGAGAAGAGACGACTATTGGTTACTTCCTGATGAGTTTTGATATCATACCAGGTGTTCATTTGGTCAATGTAACATGTGATTCTGAGGAAAAATTAAACAGACAACTGCTTCAGAATAAGCTGCAGACAGTTCCTGTGATAATCCGAGTAATGAGTTATCTTATTCAGGCAGAGATTAGAAAGACTCTCTAAGTATCTCAGGTGAAGTTTAGTTCCTCCTCTCTCCACAAAGGTTCTGTCACCCTCCCCTGGTTTCTCTCTCCTCTATTTCTGTAACACACAGTTTTCCTTCTTAGACTAAAATCACAACTTTTCTAGACTAATATTTAAAATGTACAGGACAGATTGGGTATATATGGTTTTAGATAAAGACTATGATATTACAGCTATGGAAAAAACTATTTGTTGTATATTTCGTTTGTATATGGTGGAATTGGAGCAATCCAATGCATGGTGCTATCATACAAGCTTGCGACACACAGTACTTACTTTGGGTCTGTGATCCTCAGGATTTCTCTACAAAGCCGACCAATAAATGTTACAGATTCATCCACAGGGGTGAATTTTGGTATAGGAATATGAGTAGACTGGTATATGCTTTGCCAGTCCTGAATCTGAAAAATAAGTTTTAGAGTCATTTGCAGTGTTACCATTGCACTTTTTTAATTTGCTTAGAAATTTTATTCCTTTTAATTTAAAAGTAGTACACTGCAAAACAATATTGTAAATTACACACAGCAGAACACTGTAAAAACAGAATAAAGTGAAGAATGAGTCTTATGACAAAGAGCAAGCAGAAGAACTACCTACCCTCCCAGTGAGAATTCCATCTGCTCCTTTCTACAGTAAGACTAGCTACCATTTTGTTAGCTAAATTTAAGATCTATTCGCTCCACCACTTGTGAAATATCACAAAAAGAGCTGGTAACTACTGCAATCTTTCTAAGCCTGTATTCTCATGGCTAACAACAGAGAGGACTACTATGATTCAGTAGTTACTTTCTGTTTCCCTTGAGAAAGAGAGGAAGGATATCGTTCACTGGCAAGAGATATTAAAATAGTCTGTTTGGGGTACTTTGCTCTTCTTATGTACAACTAATGCAGTGGGGATGCTGAAATCATTTGGAAAAAGCTGGGGGCAGATGTTTTACACAGTAGCTAGCACATTTAGTTGAAGTCACAACAGTATGGACTGTGCACTGTGGGGTACATCTGCTCCATCAGTCACAAGCTTTAACATCCAAATATAACGACATGTATCAACTTTTAACTCATTCTTGGTTTTGACTAGCACCTTTGTTCTTAAGAAGTTATTGCACTCCTGTTCCACATTGTAGTTAATAATACGAGACACCTCTTCTTGCCAAATTTTTAAACCATATATGTTGACATAATCCTGGATATATTCAAATGATCGATGGAACCCATCCATTGTAGCTGCCATTTCTTTCAGTTTGGGCATCAGTTCACTTGGCTACAGATGGAAAAAAAAAAAAAAAAAAAAAAAGATAAAAACAAAACCGTGAACAGGTAGAATACAAAGAAAATATAAGTCTTCTAAATGCCTTTAAATAGAGGATTTACTCTAGAGGATTTCACTATGCTCCAGCCAGAACTGAAAAGCACTGAGAAATTTATCAAAAGTTGTTTGATATCTGAAGTAATTCTTCTTACTAAATATTTTTTCCTCCTGCTTTTAATGTTTATTTCAGGCTTCAGTGGTACTATTGATTGATCTGGGAGACTCAAGAATCTGGACAGGATCAAAATAAGAAGTCACACTCCTCATTCTGTCACTGCCTTTCTATGTTTACCTGGCTTACACATATCATGTGTTGTCATCAGTCATCACAGACAAAGACAGAACTGTGAACTCAGAATTGATAGGACACTTGTCAATAGAATAAAAATATGTTTTTAAATTCTGTGCACTCTTATCAGGTTATAAACTCATTTTAACATCAAATAAGGCATTCCAAATAACCTTTAAGAAGTTCAAAAAGTGTACTTCTTTACAAAAAGAAAATCTGCACAGAAAAGTACAAATTATTTTCTAGAAGGTAGAATAATAAAAGAGGTCCCAGCAAACCCAAGATACATAAAAAAATAAAATCAAATTGAGCTGTTACACACCTTGGCTCTAGGATTAAAGATGAGTCCCCTGTGAAGAGCTAGGGCTACCCGTTTTACCAGCTCCTTCCTTATTCCATCCTCTAGTAACTGTTTTGGGTCCACCTAAGTAGAGGAAACATTTTTTCCTAAGGTCAGGAAGGTATAAAAAAATATAAAGGATTTCGTTTGTACCAAGACAGATGTTAAATACTTACGATGAATTGGAAAGCACTACTAACAGATGCACTTTCCCACCAGTGCTTGTCCAAAGAACAAATACTGAAATACTTCTACTAGATAACAAATGATTCCTTTAAGTTGAACAGCACAGGTTTCTAGTTCCCATATTCAACCTTTGTTAATGATCCATTGAGAATGCCGTACAATTCTAGGAAGCCAGTATGCACTAAGAAGTGTGTATTTCTTCAAGAATACTTGTGTCTGGTCCTGAAAGAGGTATTTTAATGTAGGAAGAGCACTCTTTGCCCATGGAAGAAGCCGCTCTTCAGAAAAGCTTGCAGTCATTTTTCCAGCAGGGGAAAAAAAAGAGCATCAGTTAAGGCTGATGAATCTGTTTACAATGACGACTGTGGGTTCTTAACAACCTTAAATATCTGAATGCCAAGTTAGGCATTGCTGTTTGAAAATTTGTATGCAAACTTATTTTTTCTTGTCTTTTTATCTTTCCTCAAGGTCTTGCTTAATGTGCTGAAATATCTGTACTGAAGTGCTAATTGCTACTGAATGACTTTTTCCTATTGGAATAATGGAATATTACCTTGATGATACCAACTAAAGTAGTTTTCATCATGAGGATACCTTCAGTGAAGATTGAAATCGCGTGGGTTAGCTTGGCAACCTTTAATAGAAAATAAAGTTTATTGAAGTCATTCAATAGATTGAAATAATTACTCTAAAAAGATACACATTTTTCCCAGTGGTAGCTTCCTATTTTAGATTAAAGTAATTTGCACTGATATACTTTCAATTTTACATCTTGTTCTAGACTTACTTATAGTACAATAATAATCTGTCTTTGAATTAGATCAATATAGGTATGTTACCAGTAGGAAAGAACAGGTAACTCTCAGAGGCTTTACAGAGATTATGGGAGGAAAGACCTAGCTGGCTCTATCATGCATGTACAAAACATCAGGGACAAAACTCTAAGTTGGTCCCTTTCAGCAGGCTAGGGACACAGCCTGAAGTAGTTGTTCCATAACAAAGCCTGCTGCCAGCAGTGAGTCCACTTCAGTATTTCCACTGATTTAATACAGCAGCACATTCACTTAGTTTAAATTATTAGGTGAGCATCCTTAAGCTCAGGGTTCAGACAAGCCAGTCTTTTGCCTTTAAGACATTTAGAACATAGAATAGAGACCACGTAGTTCAGACTTACAATTCTACAGCAAACAAAAGCGAAAAGCTTATGTGTGAGATGATTAGCTTCCCCTCTACCTCCTCAAAATAAAAGAAATATTACTGAATACTGCCTCCTACTCCATCCCTGCCCCCTCAAAACCCCCATCTTTACAAATTTTAATGGGGGACTCTAAACCTAGCGTTTTGGTCCAAACATCAGCTTAATCTGAGACCACAGCTTGTTTGTATAAAACTCCGAACAAGTGAGTGCTTTGGCAAAAACTGCTGGAAAAAGCTGGCATCTTAATGGATAATTGGAGAGCTAAAAGATACATTCTTTGAGGTAAAGAGTTACTGGTCTACTTGGGATTTTGCTCCTCATCTTCGTCTATTAAAAATAAAACTAAGTAATTTTAATTTTTGCTTACTCTTCCAGACTGATAACAGTGCAGGAAAAAAAAACCTACAGAAAGCCAATGAGCAACAGCAGCTTTATCTGATCAAATCAACGTGCCTCCATCCTGTTGTCACATTTGAGAGCAGCAAAAAGGTTAACCCTGCTGCCTTATTCAGTCTTTAACCTTCCTCTCCTGGAACAAGCATTCCAAATGTGGAAAGCTTCATTTCAGACTTGTGTTTTTAGGTTTTTTCTCCCTCCCCCCGCCCCCCAAAATCCAAAAATCTTTACCCTCATTTATAAATATATTTAGTTTTCTTCCCTTTTTCTACAAGATCAAAAGTTTAAACTTTTGCAAACACAAGAGCAAAAGTTACTCATCTATCATGAGTATACCTTAGGTTTCCCAAGGCTAACACTAGCCAATTTTAATTCCTACTCAGTCAACAAACCCAACTCCACTGGTAAGGTATAACTCTATGGAGCTGTACCTATTTAAACTTAGGTTGAAGCTGGCCACCTGTAAGATGTGCTTTTTCAGAATTCCCTATTTTAACTGCACCTCGTATCGTGGTCCAAGCTGAGCATAATCTCGTAGCTTGTCCTTATCAAGGCGAGTAGGCACTTCAATAATATCATGAGTCTGAAGCTTTATAATTTTGAGAAGAGATGTAAACATGCTTTCTGGAATTATCTGTAGAACCTTTGTAAACAAGAGAAGAAACAAACATAGTCAGTATATTCTCATTAAAAATAATAAATCTTCAATTAAGGAAAAGTAATTAGAAAACAAGACAATTACGTTTCTTCAAATGCTTACCTTTCTAACATAGGAAACCAATTCGCCAGAATAATACTGTGATACACTGAGAAGATCAGGACTGTTTGCTTGATTGATGCGGAGAAGTGGCAAGTCAAGAGCAGAAGCAAGCTAGAAATAAAGTCAACATTTTAACTTCACATATCCATTTTTCTAATATAAATTGCATGCTTGAACTCTCTCGCTCAGGCTCTTAACCTAAAACTCAAAGCGCTAGATTCTTCCTAAAAGAGGTGTTACAACATCAGGTTTGCCAACAGAAAACAAAAAAATTGTTAAAAGTCAAAGAAGTCCAACAGTCTATAATGCTACACTCCCTTATTAATTTTTTTAAATCTTACCAGTTGCATGAGATATTTTTGGTTGTGACTTTACATTCCTCCCCATGCTATTTCCCATTCTTATTTCTACATAAAATATTTTAATCTGATGCCAGATCTTCATCATGACAGACAAAGCGCATAGCCAACATAACTTTTCTAATTCCTTCAGCCTCCTCTGATAACATATGCAGGGGATTCCATCTATGCACCAATGTCTCCAGCAAATAACTGTAATGAGTAGAGGCTGGATGATGAGACTTATTTGCCTAACAGGAGCAATATAACTGGTTGCATAAAAACCCCATGCATAACTTGGTTTTATTTTCTTTAAAACTAACCTTGAGCTAATTTAATACAGTCTACAAAATCTGGATATAGAAAATGTTGGTAAAAGGAAGTTTTGACTCTTTTGTGACTTCACAGCCTTAAGGCCTATTTAACAAATGCTTTGGTTGACCTGCAGCGTTCAAGTACACTCACTGTTGTTCATACTTACCTTTAGGAAAGTGGCTCTGAGTTTAGTTACCATAGATGGACTGACTCTTATGCTTTCCTGCATGATTGATGTAAAGCTGGGGTAGGAAACAAACAAAAGAAATCAGCTTCTTCCCCTGAAACTCTTATTTTCAGCTCTTAAATCATATGTCCCCAGCAGCAGTGTAATCTAGAAATGGCACAGGAGATCACTAAGGAACTGCACTAAAGGAGGATTTTGGTCTGAAGAGATTTTGGCTAGGAAAAACCTGTAAGATAAAGGGGTAGGTGGGGCAAAAGAAGAGGGCATCAGGGAGTATTAACAGCCAAGGTAATGAAGTAGCAGCTCAGCAAAATCACACCACGGAAAAAGAGTTCTCTAACATTTATCTTTCCTTGTTTGTTTTTGGTTGAAACAGGAACTCCAGTATTTTGGAGAACACTTAATTAGACTAAAGGCTGGAGACAGAAGCTTAACAAAATTGTTATAGTCATAACAGGATAGACAGTAAAACATTACAGTATCACTTAACCTGCAGCTAACAACATGACAAGGATGGCTGTTTATTCTTATTCAAGTTGATGAGAGTTAAATATACTCAACAACTCACAGAATAAGGCTTCAAGACTGTTTTTAAATTGGAAAGTTTATAGTATTAATAATATTTATGCATGTTATTTCCCACAAGTTTCACGAATGATGACTGATTTAGAAGAAAAAGCTCCTGCTAAGATACCTGTCAATTAATTGCCAAGCATAAGAAAGATCACCAACTATCTGCATGGTGATCAAGACCTCTTCTTTAATGTTGATAGTTCGGATCATCTGATGGAGAAATTTGCGGGTGTCAGCCAGAAACTGGCAAACTTGCAGGTTAGTTTCCAGCTGGTGAAACTCTTGGACCTTTAAAAAACAAACAAACCAACCCCATAAAACAACCCCTTTTTTTTCTGTTCACCTTTAAGGACAGCAATACAAATAGATCAGTAAACTGATATATTTCTTCAGGATGTTATAGTAAGACACTTAACAAATCCTGGCCTACTTTAGAGAGTGTTAAATAATAAATTTCACAAAGTTACTTGAGGAGGTGTACTGTGAAACACCATACTGAGTATTCTTTTATACCCTGGAAATAGAAGAAATGTACACATAACAAATAGGGATATTTTTATTTTGCCTTTCAAATTACCCTCTCTAGCTTCAAATTAATTTATTTTCAGAATTTCTAATAAAATGAGTAATGTTGCCAAATAATGTTTAATACTGAATTCATTTCTTTGAAAACCCTACTAATCCTCAGCTGCAGGTGGCATCATTTTTCATGCTATATCCTTTATTTTACAATCGCAAGGTCTATAAGCAAGTCCTGCTGACTATATATAAAACTGCAAAGACCTACAGGCTTAAACAATTGTTAAAATGCAGATCTGTTTTGTAACCCATCTATTGGAAGTCAGTGCATGTGTAGCAAATGCTATTTTTCAAAAGGACAAGGTCATTTATCTCAAAATTTCTTTGCCATACCTCCTCCAGTGCCTGTATTAGCTGCACAGTTTTTCTGCCTGCTGCAGTGGAATCATCATAGTTTAGAGACATTATTTGCTTGGAGATTTCTCTGAACCAAGCCTGAAGATTTTCTGTGTAAGAACAAGAAAAAAATATTTGCATGTATGATAAGCAACAAAGACACAGGGAACTTGCTAGTCAAAACAAACAGACAAGCAAGCAAGCTATACACATAGGAAATTCCTTTGAAAGTTTTCATCTTAACTCTTACATTTCTAGTCTTTCAACATGCAGACCTGTAAAGTTGCAAATGCTCACGTAAGTTTCACACACAACATTAAAAAAGCAACTACGAACACAAATGGGCATTACAAAATCTATACAAAGATGATACAGCCTTTTAAATAATAAATTTGTGTTTTATTAACTGTTTTACAATATTAATTGCTGTGGCAGTTGCAATTTCTATGTTTTAGCTACAAGTTTGCTGACTTCAGAAAGACAAAAGGAAAATATTTCAGTAAGGTAATTCTGCTTTTAAGTGGAAGCAAGTGAGAAAATTGCCTGTATTCTGGGTTTTGTTGTTTTGGATTGATCACAAATGTTGCCCTTACATTGACACTTCATGCAGTGTTCCTGATCAAATGAGAGTGTGATTTACAATTCTTTTTCTTACCCCAGTTCAAGGGTGAGGCGGGGGAGGTATTTCAAAAAACAGAGAAAGAAATTTGGAAAGAAATACAGATTCAATGCTTTTAAGTCCTTGGAGAACTTGGAGAATACGATTCAGTGCAGATGAGAAGTAAAAGAAGGTTTGAAAAAATGCTGATACAACAGAAATCCAGGTTACAGCTAGGGGAAGAATGAGAGGAGAGGTTAAACCATCCCCATATTTAATGGGCATGATCTTCGCACTCCTTTCTACATAGAGCACAGTAACATGAACTCCATTATACATAGAAAAGTGAACTGGTATTTCATAGTCTTACCTGGCATATCTAAATAAAGTAATAAAAATATTTTTAGAAACATGGCCATCTAAATATTAGGTACTTAAATATGACTTACATATGGAATATATGCAGAAAACCTGAACAAGACAGCATGTAAGAGACCTCTGTGGACATGAACATTTTTCTTATTACATTAGCTTCATGTATTTTCTTTTGGTATCAGCTTAGAAATAAAAAAATAAAATTACTTTTTTCCCCACAGTTTAGTTTTTAATAATTACCATTTTTCTCCACTCTAGTAAGAGGTTTAACTCCTGAGAAGACATCAGCAAGCTCAGTCATCCTTTCAGATCCCTCTTTTTTATAGTTCTCCCATTTTGTTTGTTTTTCTGACAGCATCTGCTTGAACATCTATTGAAAAGTGAAGCATTTGGTTTACAAAACTGGCAAGATGGCATACTACAATAGATGAAACAAAATACTGAAAATGGATGGAACTAACTTACAGTGATTACTACATAACTTCAAGATCTTGCCAGAATATTAAATATAAAATTAAAAAAAAAAAGAAATACAGCCAGTGTGATGGACATACAGTGACAGAAATGTACTGAATTTTAAAAAACAGTATGATGCAGATATGGTTGATTTTTAGTCACTGATGAAAATATCCAGTAACTTAGCTTAGAGATCTTAGAAGACTCTGGTCTAATATTCCCAATTCAAAAAAGCATATACTTGAAGTTAAGCATACTTTTATATATTCTACCAGGTTAGCACCAGAGCATTAATGGGGAATCTTTTAGAAATGGCAGAACTTCATACATAGGTGTAAGAGTTTTCTTAGCAGCTTATCCTCAACATACATAGGCTTTTGTCTCTGTTTAAAAGAAAGCCTGAAAAAGAGAAGTATGACACGATAAAAACTTACGCAGCTTCCTCCACAGATTTTATTATGTCTGTTCTCAGGCTGTTCATGCAAAATTCTGAGTAAATATAAACACGTTGGGTAAGAATGAAAACAGCCAATTATTGAGAAAACTGCAGAAGTCACCTCCAAGCAATAGTAGTTTGTAATCTTCTATAGAAAACTCACAATTAACAAATCAAAACAATTGTTCTTTATGTAAGTGGACTGCGCAGTAAATGCACCACTACTATTCAAGTCTTCAACTCTGTTCTGCCACTCAGGGGAAAACGGTGAAGAAGACAGCAGCACATTACCTCTTTCAAAATGAATTCAAATTGAGCTGTATCCAGAAGAAGCTGGAAAAGGATCCTGGGATTGTACCTTGAGTCTGTGAGAATTTGATCCTTTATCTGGCGGAGACGTTTGTTATTTGGATCACAAGCTGAAAATGGAAAGACAACATTTCTCCACTGTTACAGAATTTGGCCAAGCTTTTCAATCTTTGTAAACAGACTTTTTTGTTTTAATAGCTTGAAAGCAAAAACGTTTTGCTCTGATATGTAAGTCCCCACCTGTTCTCTATTTACATGGGTCTCACCACCCTTGTACAACCCTTCCTTAGAATAGGAAATAATTAATGTTTCTGTCATGCTTCAGCCTTCTTAAAACTCTTCTGCTGGCTTCTGCAAACTAAATGTGAATTTAGTACACCTGACTGAGAAGCCCAGAGATCAACATTTCTGAAATGGTTACAGAAAACACATGAAGCCCTCTCACATAACAAGAAGCCCCAAAGACAACACAAGCATTCAACCAAGAGAATGTCTAACTAGGTAAGTTTACAGACCCAAACTCATGTCAGAGACATTATTGAACAGTTTCAGCTGAATTTCAGTTCAACAGAATAAAACACTTGGTTTTAAATTATTAATTACTAAGATATTAAGAAGCTGGCTACTGCTTTCCTTTTGGTGCTAGGTAAAATGTTCAGAATGATGATTTAAGTGATAAGGCAGAAAAAGATAAAAGTTGCCAGACTTTTTCTGCAGAGTATTACTGAACAGGGTCGTGACTTCTCCTACTACTTTTTATACCTGTGTCTAGCTTGCAAGAATGAATCAAATGCACGTGTGGTGTTTCAGCCAAAGACTTTAGAAGACTGTTAGCAAAAGAACAGCTCAACAATCTATTGACAACAGTAGACGAAACTGCTGACTTCAACAGCGGCACACACTGAACTTCCATCAGGACGTAACATGAAGCACCAGTACAGCAGGATTAACAGCTCTGTAATAAAAGTCTATTATGAAGTCTTACCTGTGTCTGCAGTATGAAGCATCAGCCAGCGAATTGCTACATTGCAGTCTCGCAGGCAATTCAGCAGCTTGGGAATATTGTCCAGCACCAGCTCTTCCCTTAGACAGCCTTCCTTGAGAAACTGCTGCACCTGAGTGTGCACTCGCTCAGTGACCACAGCATATCTGCTTGCCTTAGAATATACAAAGCTTGCATCAATATAATCCTTGCCTCAAATGGAATACATCATGCACAATGTGACTGTGGCTTCCAAAGAACTTAAAGGGCACACAGATCAAAAAAAGTGCTATAAAAACTATTATCATTACTAGTAGGCCAATATCATACACTGCAACTGTGTGACAAAGGATGCAAGCTAAATTTTAAAGTAAAAAGCCTGCACAGGAAGCACAATGTTTCAAAAATGCAGACTTGTAAACTTCCTATATTAACTTAGGTATGCTCTAGATATCTCTCCTAAAAAATGTTACTAATGCTTTATTGCCTAATGTGAAAGAACAACAACAAAAATCTATTCCAGAATGGAAATACTTGTTACAAATTAAATGTCAGTTCTACTTAGTGAACTTCTTCTCTAAAGACTAAGGAAAAATGTCTGCTCGTATTCCCTAAGTTTACTAGACAACATATAGTACAGTTCTCAGTAGACACTTCTGTGTGTTCTTTCCTGAGCACTGGGGTCAGATTCTAAGGAGGCATTTAGCTATCATCAGTCAAATGATTTGTTGATTGGGCAAACAATCAACCAACTCAGTGTTATTCACTGGTTTTTTAGGCATGGAAAAAATTATTTCACATAAAAAGAATTAACTACGTTGCATCATCTAACATTATGGTATCATTCTTTTAAATCAGATGCTTTTTCCAGATTATTGTTCATGTAATTTGGGAAGCCCCATTAATTTGGGAGGCTGCCGCACCTCGTCAGCGTAGATGTTTAACTTCTAAAACTGTTACAGATGAAAGACCAAACGCTACAGTCAGCTTAAGACATCCCAGTACTGAACAGCATGGCAAAGAGTGCTAGCATCTATTCAGTCAAGTCAGAACTCTGAAGCTTTTAGGGGAAACAAACACTGCGAGATGAAGTGAAACAAGCAGTGCTGTGAAGACCAGATTTTGAAACTCTGAAGTATTTTTAACTCAAAGTTATATACTCAAAGTACTGTACTTGAATGTAATACAAATAATTGTATGCAAGAAAAAAAGACCAATGCATTATTGATGTCATATAATATACTTGAGATGCCCACACAGCTTGAATCTTCCTAGAAATACTTAACTCTGGCTTATGTACCTGCTCTTTGACATTTGAAAGATCCAGTGTGTAGTTGAGGGCAGTTTTAGCAGCTTTGTAAGGTTCCCATGCTTCTGCTAGATTTACAGTGATTCCCATGTAAATGCTAATAACCTAAGATTGGAAGCAGAAAACAAGAAGCTGCAGTTACATTTTATTAAGAAAAAGACATACTTTTCATTTAGCAATGTAAGTAGAAACTGATATGCTGTAGGTATAAATACAAGAGTGGTGGTGCATTGCCCCCTCTTTTCTCTCTCTTCAACCACTTTACGACCTCAGGAATTCCAGACCGCGGCCTTTGTGTAGTGAGTTGGTCAGTTAAGCGCCCCTTAATTGTACCAGAAACTCCTACATGGTTGAAGCAGAAAGCGGTCCTGTCCTTATTAAAATCTCTGTATTATGGCTAACGAGGGGAGCGAGAACAAACAGCTATCCGCGACAGCCTTGAAACAGAGCGGTATCATCGTTGCTGGAATTCCAGCAACTACCAACCCAAACTGTGGCTCGGGTGGAAATTTACTGGTGACTAAAGCCAAACATCTCACGATCCTATAAACAGCAGTCCTAAGTGAGGCCCTTTGAGCTCTCCTGGACTGCAGTGGGCTGCACCAGCATCTCTCTCCGAGTGGGACGCCTCTCAGAGCTAGCAAACTCTCAAAGTTTGCCACAATCAGATGTCCATTGCTGAAGACGGACAGTGGAGCCAGGGCTGAAACCCTTCACTCCTCGAGGCTCAACCCTCGCCCGCTGAGAAATGCCAAGACATTCAACGTGAGTATTTCACTGAACTGGAGGGGGATTTTTGAAAGGTATACCATTTTTTTATATATATATGTACTCAAGTTTGTGTGTATGCATGTGTGAATCAGTTTAAGTAGTCTGTAGATGTACGATTTAATTTCAACGTGAGTCTTACACTGCTCCATTACCCTTATTCCTATAAACCGTTGACCAAGTCTGAGACTAAGCTTGGACCCAGCCGCACCTAGACTCCTCTCTGAGAAGGAGTTTAGAAAGCAAGGGGGTCTGTTCTGAACCTCGTGACTCAACGGGAGGGTCCTCCTTATCCCCTGCATCCACGATCTCTCTCACTCGAGTGTAACCTAATTTTCTTTTATGCACTTCTTCCATGTACCAGATATACACATATATATATTATCCTTATTCCTATAAACCGTTGACCAA